TTCTCCAAAACTTTTACCCAAACCGATAGCCATCCCACAATATATAGTATCTTAAAATTGAAGAATATGATATATATTTTTCTAGAATTTTCTTTATTACTTTTCAAATTGTGATTTTATAAAAGTCACACTTCCTCATTGCATCTGGTGATGCACCTGCAAAAATAAAGGTGTATAAAGAAAAAAAATATCTTCCTAACCTCACTCCCCCTCCTGAGATTACCAGCATTAGCCATGTGCTGATATTTTTCACATGACTGGGAGAGCTCAGACATAATATATATGCCCCTGTAGGATTTTTGGTTGTGGTGATTTCAACAAAAATAACATCATATTACTCTACTTGATATTCTTATTTAAAATACATCATGGCTATTGCTTACAGTTAATAAATAAATCTCTAACTTATTTTTAAATATCTATATGGTAATTTAGGCATCTATATAGTATAGAAGTGTCAGAATTTATTCAATCATTTTTCCCACTGAAATAGTTTCCAGTTGTTCTTTATTTCAACTTCCAGCAATTCCTCAATACATATTGTTGCATCCTCATGTATTGGTGCATTTATTTCTACAAGCTAGAGCCCCAAAAGTGGGATTGCTGGATTAAATGATATGTGCAATCTAATTTTAACATATATTTCTAGATGAATTTCCCAGGGGTTTTAGGGATTCACACACCATCAGCAGCATTATGAGATGGCCCATTTCCCTACATTCTACCCAGTGCTCTCATAATTGCTCTTTCTAATTTTTTCCAGTCTACTGGATGAAAATGGTCTCATACTCTAATTTTCATTTTCCTCACTACCAGTAAGGTTAGGCACTTTTTCACACTTTCTTGGCCATTTGGGCATCATCTCTCTCTAGCCCTTGTACACTCTGGGTATTTTTCTACTGGCTTGTGTTTTTCATGTAAAACAATTTGTAAGATCTTATTATTCATTAGGGTATTTACTCTTTGTCAGTCAGATATGCTTCAAATACTCTGTTGCAGTTTACCCTTTCCTGTCAGCCTCATACTGTAATATATTTTTAAAAATTTTTATGTAGTCAAATACGTCTGTCTTTTATATTTTTTGTTTAGGAAGCTATCCCTCACCCTGAGATTATAGTCTGCTAAATTTTCTTCTAATGTTTTATAGTGTTTTATTTTTATTTATTTTTTGCTTTATTGAGGCATAATTTACATACAACAAAATTCACTTATTTTAAGCATATAGTTTGATGAATTTCGGTAATTGTACATAGTCATGCAACCTCTGCCAAAATCAAGCTCTTGAACAGATCCATCGTCCTAAAGTATCTTCTCATACCACTTCACAATTGATGCCCTCTCTTGCCCTTGACCTCAGGAAACTACTGGCTTGCTTCTTGTCACTACAGCTTTACCCTTTCTACAATTTTGTATAATAGACTCATAGAGTATGTAGTCTTTTGTGTTTGTCTTCTCTCTCGTCCGTGTTTGAAATGCATCCACATTTTCATATATATTAATATTTAATTTATTTTTATTGCTGAGTAATGTCCCATAGCATGGATAATCCACAACTTGATTATCTACCACTTAATGGATGTTTGAAGTTACTTCTAGTTTTTTGTTATTATGCATACTGTTGTTACAACATTATTATAATTTTATTATTTACTCAAATGTAAAAGTCTTTGAGTAAAAGACTTTATATGGACATATCTATTTCATTTCTCTTGAGTAAATATCTAGTTGTGAGCTTGCTGGGTTGCATGGTAAGTGTATGTTTAACTTTATAGAACACTGCCATCCTGTCTTTCAAAGTGGCTGTGCCATTTTGCATTCTCAGGAGAAATGTATAGAGTTTCCACTGGTTTCACATTCTCCCCAGCATTTGGTATTGTCTAGCTTTTTAATTTTAGCCATTCAAATGGTGTGCAGTGGTCTCTCATCGTGGTTTTACATGATAACTAGTGATGTTGAGCATGTATTTATGCGCTTATATTTGCCATTCATAGGTGAAGTGTCTGTTTAAATCTTTTCCCCTTTTTAAAAAAATTGAGTTGTTTTTCTTATTAAGTTGTCAGTGTTCTAAATATGCTGGATGCAAGTCCTCTGTCGGAAATATGTTTTGCAAATATTTTCTTGTGATCTATGGCTAGTCTTTTCATCTTCTTAACTGTGTCTTTCAAAGAACAAACGTTTTTATTTTGATAAAGACTTTAGCAATTTTTCAATTTTTGTCTTTTGTGTCATGTTTAAGAAATCTTTGTCTAACCCAATGTCACAAAGATTTTTTTATGTTTTCCTCGAAATATTTAGTAGTTTAAGGTCTTATGGTTAGATCTCTGATCCATTTTGTGTTAATCGTTGTGTATGGCTTGAGTTAAGAGTTGAGCTTCATTTTTTCTATACGAATAAATCTAGTTGTCCCAGCACTATTTTTTAAATTGTTAATTTATCTGGAATTAACTTTTATATGATATGACGCAGACTCTAGCTGAATTTCTTTTCCTGATGGATAATCAATCACATCAATATTTTCTAATATCTAAGTCATCTATAATATTGAAATGTTATACTTGTTATTGCTTAATTTCCTACTCATAATCATAATTATTTCAAGACTTTATTCTTTTCTATTGGTTTATTTGATTATTTCTGTGATAATTGTCCAAAGCAGAATTCTTGGTTCCCAACCCTTTAACCTGTTTCACTTTCCATTTTTCCTCATTTCTTTTAGTGGTCCTGCCATCTACCCAGTTGATCAAGCCAATAACCTAGATACTAGGCTTTATTTCTCTCCGTTCCTCATTTTTCCTTCTGTATTATAAATACAATATCCAATATAAATAAAGTGTCTACTTTACTCCATCTCCACTGCTAACAAAGTTGTCCAGACTCCCTCACTCTCATCTTGTACCAGGCTTTTCCATGGTCACTAACTCAGTCCACAATGGCCATTTTTCTGTTCTTTGACCATCCAAGTTTGTACCTGTCTCAGGGTCTTTGAACTTGCCATTCCTATGCCTGGAATAATCTTCCTTCATCATAACTATCCTTTTGCATCTTTCAGGTCTCAGTGATAACGACTCAGATCTTTCAAAATCTCTTATATGTGAGGCCCCGCGGACTATAATCCTCCTATTGCTAGTTTGAGTTTGAGATGGGTACTCATCCATGAATTTGCATTCCTAATGAGCTGCACATCTGTAGCATCTACTGAGATCAGGCACTGGATCTTTCCATACTTGAATGATTTCTCCCTATCTTTGTAAAGTCTGAGCCAGCAGCCAGCACCAGGGTTGTTTCTCAGGGACAAAGAAAAGCAAAGGTTTAGTCTCGATCAAACTGATTCCTACTCAACAGAATGCTCACAAAAATGTGGTGCCCTGTGCCTTCTGCAATGTCACAGACTCCAAGTACGAAGAGCAGAAGGTTCTATAATTACATGGCATATTCCTAAACAGCAGTCCACTCAGGGGGACAGTCACTTAAGTCCTGGAAAGTGCACCTGGAGAAGAGAATGCTGCTGACAAATAGGACCTCCACACTTGGGGAGGGGTCCCTTCAGGAGGCCTTGGGCATCATCCAAAGAGAAGGATCAATGGGCTGGCTTGCCCTCTCTACAGAATTTCCTTTGTGTGTGTATGTGTATGCATGTGGCTTCACTCACTCTGGCTCCGCTTCCCCAGGTACTGTGTATTCCGAACATTCAGTGCCGCAGCTGCAGCGGCCGCTGCTCTGGTTGCTGTGACAACTCTTAGCAATTTGTTGTTGTTCTCCATGCGAATGAGCCCTGGGGTACACCGTCCCCACTAAACCTCTCCCTCAAGCTCCCAATGCTGTTCGACTCATTTTCCATTACAATCAACAGAGGACCTTTAGCAATTCAAACGGAGTTATTGCTTTCTTTCACATCTTTTCTCAAATATCTGATTGCAATTCAGCTCTCCAGAGAAAATCCAAGCTGCCTCTTTAATTCTTATGAAGAGAAAGTGTGAATTTTATCCTAGATTCATCATTTTAAAGCTGAAGGGGACCTTGAATACAATCTAATTATGTCTCCACATTTTACATATGAAAAAAAAAGTGTCTGATGTGCCTAGAACAGGATCTGGCGTGCATGGCAATCACTCAAAAGTTTGTTCAATGAATGAATGAAGTTCAGGAAATCATCACCTCTCCAAGATCACACAATAAGTTTGTGGCAGAACAAAGATTAGAATATAGATTTTCTCATTCCAAAATTGAGTCCATTTATGAAAACAAATGGATCATATTTATTTATTGAAATAATCTAAATAACCTAATCTTCAATACTTCTACATTTAAAGATTTACCATAAAGATGTATGTCTTATAATAATGCCATCATTTAAAGCTAAAAATAGTCTTAGAAACAAAGTAGTCTATTTCTCATCCTAGTAAAAATAAATACATAGAATGTACCTAATCCAATTTCTTAAACATTTTTACTGAAGTGTAATTAATATACAAAACACTGGACGTATTGAATGTATGCAATTTGATGAGTTTGGAGGAGATATGCACAGCTTTGTGAAACCACCACTGCAATCAAAGTAATAAACATATCCATCACCTCCAAAAGTTTCCTTCTGCTCCTATGTTGGTTTTTGTTTTGTTTTAAGAACACAACATGAGATCTACCTTCTTAGCAAATGTTTAATTATACAATACAGTATTGTTAATATAGGCATTATCCTGTGTGTTAGATCTCTAGGACTTACTCATCTTGTATAACTGAAACTTTGTACCCTTTGACTAATACTTCCCTGTTTCCCCATCCCCTGATCCCCCGGCAACCACCACTCTATTCCCTACTTCTATGAGTTTGACTATTTCAGATTCCTCATATAAGTGATATCAGGTAGTATTTGTCCTGTGTCTAGTTTACTTCACTCAGCTCAACGTCCTCTAGGTTCATCCACGTTGTCACGTATGGCAGGATTTTCTTCTTTTTTGAAGCTGAATAATATTTCATTGTGTGTATATGCCACATTTTCTTTATCCATTCATCTGTTAGTGAACATTTAGGTTGCTTCCACGTCTTGGCTATTGTGAATAAGGCGTCAATGAACATAGAAGTGCAGAAATCTCTTCTTGATCCTGACTTCAATTCTTTTGGATATATATCCAGAAGTGGAATTGTTGGATCACATGGCAATTCTATTTTTAATTTTTTGAGGAACCTCCATATTGTCTTCCATAGTGATTACACCATTTTACATTGCCACCAACAGTGTATGAGGGTACACTTTTCTCCACATTCTTGCCAACATTTATCTTTTTTTTTTTATAGCCATCCTAACAGATATGAGATGATACCACGTTGTGGTTTTCATTTGCATTTCCCTGATGATTAGTGATGTTGATCATCTTTTCATATATCCATTGGCCATTTGTATGTCTTCTTTTGAGAAATGTCTATTCAAATTCTTTCACCATTTCCCTAATTCAATTTTGACAAAGGGGTTTTACCACTTAATTATTATTAAATGCACACCTCCTATCTTTCAAGTTTCATTAATTTTAATTAGTTAAAACCAGGATAAAATCTTGAAGTTTGACAGGTTTTTTTAAAGCCACAATAGGAAAAATAATTAAAGTGCACATTACACTGATGTTTAAATCAGGTAGTTTTGATAATGGCAAAAATCTAATAACATGTGATTCAAGAAGTGGAAGAAAATATTTTCATCTCAGGATTGAGCTATCTTTCTTAGTCCATGTGATTTTTCTTGAAAGAATTGGAGAGAAGTCAGAAGAAAAGAAGAAATACAGTGAATTTAGAGCCAGAGTCTTGGAAAATTTTAAAATTTGATAAGGAGTATAATAGCACCCATCCCCAAAATCAATTTAAAGTTCAAACTAAGAAATTCTCTACTTTGCAGAAGAAGGAGCTTTGAATTCAATTTTGTTGTAGCCCAATCATTTGTAATAAGAAGATTCCCAAGAAATGTCGTGTGAAATGGTGTATTTGTGAAACTGGCTCTGAATCAACTTAGTGTTTCCCAAACTTGACTGGCCTTAGAACCACCTGTGGCACTTTTTAAAACTATACATATTCCTGAGCCCCAAAGAAAACCTACCAAAGCAGAGTCTCTGTCTATGAGACTCAGAAATTTATTTTAATAAGCTTTTCTGTGTTCTTCTGCAGCCAGCCTGGCAACTCAGCAGCCTGGGCTTTGAAAGCCAGGGTATATTTACCCATCTTTGGAGAAATAGTGTCTTAACTTTGTGCTGTGCCTGCAGACAGTTAAATTTTCTTGTGGAAATGTGAATTTCCCATAGATATTCTGGAACACTGCAGGAAAAACTGTCAGGTCTTGCCCCTACCTCTCTCTGAGAAAGAATCATAAAAAAGGTGTTATTTGTTTTAATCTAATAACTCAAAATTTGGGTCCTGTTTTAATAGTTATATTATTGTTTTGTGCTGAGATATTTCTGTTGAGAGGCCGCAAGTCATGGCTATGCCCTATCAGCAGAAGGGTAATTTTTCTTAACATAGTGGATATTCCCAATATCATCCTAGGAAAGAGAAGATCCCAGATCAGAAAATAAAGACTTAGGGTGGTAGTAAGATGGGAACTCGTCACTCTGAGTCTTGTGGTTGATAGAATCTAGACTCTAAGGAGTAGAGACTCTATCCCAAGGAGCCACTTGGGCTTGAGGAGTAAATAAAGCAGACCTCTGCCACAGATAGGCAGGCTAGAAATTAGGCAAGGATGGACTGTGTGCTTTAAAGCAGCTGTAGTGGTCCACTCTTCTAAAAAATTTAGAATCCCCTTCTTAGAATGGGCCATGTCTCTAGACCCATAAATTCATCCTCTCTATGGTGGTTTACAGAGTAAACTTCTTTTTATCTTGACCCCAAATTTTAAGAGGGCTCATTGATTAGACTATGCACTGCCCCCAGACTGATCTGAGGGTGAAAAGCTAGGTGTATTTTACTTCTTGATCTGAACTGTCAGTGATTCTCAATGGCCAGGGCTAGAACCAGCTTGCATAGATCTGTATCCTGACTCTAGGTATAAAACAAGTTGAAATAACGTAATTGAACACATCGCCTACTGTGGCAAGTCCAGAATATGAACAGACTTCTAATACAATGAAAAATGATAGGGCTTTGTGAAACAAGTAGCTTGCATTGTCAATTGCATTTCCTTGACAATGCTTTCAAAATGCTAATTAATGGTAAAGGGTGTTTATCTTTCATAATTGTCCAGCAAGAAGGCCTACTTTCATCTTGAAAGGATTACTGACTTGATTATAAAAATATCGTGCTTTTATTGTCTGAGACCAAAGGCTTTTGTACTCAATACAAATGCCTGGTGATCAAAACTACTAGCGTATTAAAAAAAGGTTCCCGTTTTAACAGTATCCAAATACGCACTTGTTTTATTCACATAGCACCAAAACAACATGTTATCAGTACTACCACTCATATACCTAAAATTACAGTGAAAACAAACTTCACATTTTCTTCTTTAAATATGTCATTCCAAGATTAAATATACATACATAAATCAGTTGACTAAGGCAATCAAAGACAGTGTCTTCAAATTTCAAATAGCATTCAGTTTGTTTTTAGAGATAAAATTAAAAGGACTCAGAAGATTCTCCTCAATTGTTTCTTGGTAGTTAAAAAGTAACTCAACAGAAAACTAGCTGTTGGCCTGGTTACAGTGTGGTACAGATGCCCTAACTTTGTGGTGCTCTAAGATCCTACTCAGGGGTTGGCTGCAAAGATTTGGGTTCATCTGGTTAACCGTGATTAATTCATTACTCAGCAATTGTATGATTCCATTCATGATGCACATGCCATTCAGAAATGTTCTGGACAGGACAGCTCTATTTTGCTTCCATGATAAAAGCAGGGAACTGGGAATTGCTAAACAGATAGAGAGCCCTTTAAATATCCAGGGAATTCAGCCTCACTACTTTAGCTTATTTCTCATTTCTTTCTTACATCTGAGAAGAGACAAGTTAGATCTGAGTTATTTTAAGAGAAGGCATTAAATAACATTATTTCAAAATATAAAATAACATTTTTAACAAATTTTTATGATGGATCACACTTTTAGAAACATTTTGCATATATATCAGCTCATTTAACTCTCTCAATATTTCTGTGATGTGTATGATCATTATATACATTTTATAGCTCAAAAACTGAGTTTTAATCCAGTGAAGAAACTTGACCAAGACTGTTTTATTTGTACATGTCAGAAACTGTGATTTCAATCCAAATGTTTTAAGCATAAATTTTTTGATACTTTTACTGTAGTACAAACTAAGGAAGTCATTTTAAAAAAATAATCATCTAGATCTAAATGAGAAAATATCACTCTTCTGGTAGCCCTAGCTCCAGTTAAATATTATTCTCTTTTTAATCCATGACTCTTCTTAATTCCCAGAAACTGGCACAGTGGAATCCTCTTATACTACCAACACAGGTTTAGTTAATTGAACAATTATTTAAAATCATTTAAAAATTCTGTACACATATATTAACTTAATATAAACTACATAAATACTCATTTACTCCCCTTGATTTTTTTTTCAGCTTTATTGAGATGTAATTAACATATAACATTACGTAAATTTAAGGTGTACAATGTGTTGATTTGATACTCTTAATATATTGCAAAATTTTTATCACCATAGCATTAGCTAATACCTCCGTCATGTCACATAACTACCATTTCTTTGTGCAGTGAGAATATTTAAGATCTAGTCTCTTAGCAACTTTCAAGTATATAATACAGTATTATTAACTATAATCACCATGCCATACATTAGATCCCCAGAACTTATTCATCTTCCAACTGGAAGTTGTACCCTTTAACCTACATATCCCCCCTTCCCCAATCTCCAGCTCCTGGTAACCACCATTCTACTCTCTGTTTCTATGAGTTCAGCTTTTTCAGATTCCACATATAAGTGAGATCATATAGTATTTGTCTTCCTCTGTCTATTTCACTTAGCATACGGCCCTCATGGTCCACCCATATTGTCACCAATGGCAGGATTTCCTTCTTTTATGTGACTGAATAATATTCCATTGTATATACTTCTTTATTCATTCATTTGTTGACAGACATTTAAGTTGTTTCCATGTCTTGGCTATTGTGAATAATGCTGCAATGAGTACAGGAGGGCAGATATCTCTTCAAGACAGTGATTTAATTTCCTGTGGATATAGACTCAGAAGTGAGGTTTCTGGATCATACGGTAGTTCTACTTTTAATTTTTTGAGGAACCTCCATGCTGTTTTCCATAGTGGCTGTACCAATTTACATCCGTACCAACAGTGCACAAGAATTCTCTTTTCTCCACATCCTCTCCAACACTTGTTATCACTTGTTTTTTTGATGATAGTCATTCTAACAGTTGTGAGGTGGTATCTCATTGTGGTTTTGATTTCCATTTTCCTGATGATTAGTGATGTCAAGCTCCTTTTCATGCACCTATTGGCCGTTTGTATGTCTTCTTCGGAAAAATGTCTATTCAATTCTTCTGCCTATTTTTTAATAAGATTTTTTTTTCTGTTGAGTTGTGTGAGTTCTTTTTATATTTTGAACATTAACCCCTTATCAGATATATGATTTAAAAGTATTTTCTTCCATCCGCTTCATAGGTTGCCTTTTCATTTTGTTTGTTTGTTTGTTTGTTTCTACGCAGAAGCTTTTTAGTTTGATGTAGCCCCACTTATTAATATTTGCTTTTGTTCCCTGTGCTTTTGGTGTCATATCCAAAAACTCCTTGCCAAGACCAATGTCAAGGAGGCTTTTTCATATGTTTCATGGTTTCAGGATCAAAGTTTTGTTTTATTGTCTGTTTGTTTGGTCCAATGATGAAGTTCTGTTGCCATTTTTTACTAAATTGCACCAATAATGTATCATCTACAATTTCTAAATTCTCTGAAGTGAGTGAAGAACTTAATGATACTTTTGAAGCAATCTAAGAAAAAACTTTCTAGATTTGTATGATTTTTCCAATATTTTACAGGTTGTCCATACCTAATATTTTAGGAAGCTGACTTTTTATTGAATCTTTCCAAACCTTTTAATTTGATTTTTTAAATATTTACAGTATTTTTTCAGTTTTATTAAAATATATTTAATATACAAAAAAATTTCCCATATTTAATGTATACATTTTGATGATTTTGACATATGCATATACCTATGATACCATTACCACAATAATTTGATTTTAATAGAATCTATAATTTTCCTAGTGCATTCATATATCATCAGTTAATATAATATTTAATTATATCATAGAATTACAATAACAAATACAACTGGAATAATTAGGTTTGTGAGCAAATACAACTTTATCTTGAACAGCAAATAATCTAAATGGTGGGAGCAGTAGTGATGAGCATACAGCTTACTACCTGGGCATCCATCAGTACACTTTACAGATGGAATGGATAGGATGGGTTAATCCAGCAATTGGATTAAGTGGAAGTCAGTTAAGAAGTCTAGAGGCAGGGATATCTGTCTGCTTGTCCCACAATGTAGTGCATTTGATCAAGTGGGTTCCTTAGACTTGAGAGGGATGTCAACTCTAAGAAGTTAAGAGGATTTTCTCAGGAGCTGACATGGAAAAAGGAGCCTCTTATTTAGGGCACCTGCCATCAGCCAGGTTGTTCCTTTGTTTTGACCTTTTCATTTCCCCATAAACCTCCAATAAAATGTAAAGCAAATGAAAAAAACCAGATAAAATATTAAATATTAAAATGCTCACATAATAAATGTTTCACTGAAGGTCAAGTAAAGCTAGACTTCTAAACTGAAAGCAATGAAAAACTTCAAGATGAATGGATTCAGAGAGCGCACACAATTTGACCTGTTTTGCATTATGGTGCTTGAAAGGATTCTCCAGAAAATAAAATTAAGAAAGGATGCTTCTCAGGCAGAACGCCTCCAGTATAGACTCAGGTTTATCACAAAGGACCCAGGCCAGAGGTTGATAAATAATATAATTTTTAAATCATAAAAAATTTGAACTAGCTATTATGTGTGTTTGGGACATAGTGTTAAGAAAAATGGACGTGATCTGTGCCTTCAAGGATTTACAACCCAGCAGAAAGAGAAATCAAATTTAAATCAGTAGGTGAAAACAAGTGGTACAGGACCCAACCTTAGAGCAAATGCCAAAGTGGCCCCCTTACATCTAAACTTGAAAGTCCAGTATGGATAACTGATATGCAGAGTATTTTAAAAGAATTATCAAAAATCATATACATAGATTATCTTGAAGGAAGATTAAAAGCCAAATATAAGAGTATTTTAATTCTAGACGCCTAACTCTGGAATTCCAATTCTCCAGAACTAGTAGGTCTTATCTCAGAGACTCCAGACCTCTAAGTCCTCCTCATATGTAGTAAAAAATGTCCTCGAGCTGTTTTCTATATAACAAAACGCCTTATGAAACTATGTGCTTACCCTCAGTAATACAGAGAACAATTAAAATCCTGCCTTTGATTGGAATTTCCTCAGTTAGTTAGGAATCCAATTCACTCAGAAATTCTGACTGGCATTGATGGTTTTATTAATAACAAATAGAAAGATAAGCTCATTTTCACTTACTAAATGCAATTTGGGGGTAAATAATACGTTATAAAACATGAGGTTTAAAGAGTAAATAGTAAAAATGATTGGGAAACACATCTTTACTCCGAATCAATCTATAAAACCATTTAAAAAATTTATCTCAATGATAGACTTCTAAAGAACAACTTGTATATTCAGTTAATTTTACTTTTAACAACTGAAAACGCTTGGTCTGTGCATCTGTTCTTCATAACAAAACAGCCCAGAGAAGGCCTCAAATATTAATGCTCTATAGACAAGAGGAAAAAAAAGTACAAGAGAAAGAAGAAGAGGAAGAGGAAGAAGAAAAGGAACTTTCTGTTTTCTGCCTGGAATGATCTTCCTTTCGTCCCTACCATGGATTGTTTCTTCCCATCTTTCAAACGTTCACTTAAACTCCATGTCCTCTGAGAGACTTTCCCTGGACAACCTATCTAAAGTTACCTGCCCCACCCTGCCCACCACTTTACTTTCTCTCGTATAACCTTCTTGATTTACTTCATGGCTCTGCTCACAGCCTGCAATCATTTGGATTATTTATTTGCTTATTTGTGTATTATCTGATTCTCCCACTAGAATGCAAGCCCTGTGAGCAGGATATTATGTATTTCATTCCCCTGTCTATTTCCAACCCCTAGCAGCACTCAATAAATATTCATTGAATGAGTAAATAAACAAGAACCAAAGTCTCTATTTGGGGGTCTACTGCTACTCCGCCAGGCACTTTTTCACCTTTGTGTCATCTTTACAAGAGCTCTGCTAAGTAGGTGTTAACTACCTTGATTTTTCAAAAAAAGGAAACTGAGGCATAGAGACTGGCAAGGAAACTGGCTTTGCCAACACCAGTTAATGATGGACCAGTGATGCATATGCCTTTCTGTTGGCTTCTAAAGTCTATGTTTAAATATAGCCTTTTAGCTGAGAGTCTCAAGGTGCAATTACCTCATCTGTATTGCACGTGTTTGTGTGACAAGAAAACACAATCTCTCTTAACGATTTGTGCCTCATCTGTTATGGCATTTTCCATGCTGAATTATAATGGGTCTTGTTACCTGGATGCCTTCTCTCTCAGTCCGAGCTCCTCAAGGGCAAGTAATTTTTCTCTGTACCAAAGAGCTTGCACAATGTTCAACCGCGTGTTTGTGAACAAAATGAATGGGTTGAGGATCAAGGCCATATTCGCTTTCCAAAGCAAAAGAAAAAATCAGGCTCTTTCTAAAAGGAAGAATTCTGGGATAGAGAGTGGCTTTATACAGTACAGTATATATTCAGTGGCATACAGACTTCTAGATTATCTTACAACTTTAGTGAGTTTGTTATCAAAACTTTCAACTGATGCATAAGAAATTTGAATGAAAGAAAAGGTAAGTGATTTGCCCAAAGTCACACAGCACTTTTGCATTTAGCAATGAGTCTATTAATTGCTGACTAATAGTCGCATAATAAGTAAGGACCTCAGATCAAATTAAGGACTTTACTTTTTAATTACTTAAACTCTTAAACTCCTATAAGCAACATTTAAATATTATGGTAGAGGACTAGGGGAAGACGTTTATATGAGCTCAGCATTCTCTCTCAGGTCTCCATTTAAATTTACTAAGAAATGGAAATCCAAAAAATCCCAGTTAACCACAGGAATTATCTAAATGCTACCAATCTGGAAGAAATTCTGCCAAGTGTCATGTATATAAAGCCAACATCATGCTCTAGAGAGAGATCAAACACCCTTGGTCTGTCTTTTCTTTCTGTGGGTCAATAGCATTTGAAAAGAGGGTGATGGAAGTCCACAGGGTCTGTGTAGAAGCTATGACACACAGAAAACCAGAGTCTTGTCTCTGAGGTCATAGCAGCACAAAACAGGAGCTTGGACAAACACGTTGAACCTGATCTGGAGCCTGACCAGCAGAAATTTGAATGTGGATCATAGGTCCTGGTGCAGCAGCTTGAAATAACACAGAAACAAGCATCTCCTGCATGTCCTCATGGGGCTGCCCCAGGCCCCAATCCGCCTGGTCTCCCCTGAAGCTTCTAACACTAAACAGATAATACACAGTGCATTTATACCAACCAGCTCTCCAAGTTACAATTAACTCAAAGGAAGAATTCTAATAGCAAATAGTTGCTCAGTGAGGAAAATCCAGGAGAATGTATACACTATGTTTAGGGTCAAACACTATGCCTAGATAGAGGAACGCAGGAATTTGAGCAGGAATGTGTTCATTACTATATTCTTTATACCAAAAAATTAGAATCAGCCTAATATCCACCAGCAAAATCTTTTTAAAATAAATTATAGTTCATCTATACAATGTAATTCAATGCAGTCATTAAAAATAATTTTAGAAGAATAATCAACAAAATGGGGAAATGTTGATATTATATTTTAAATTTAAAAATCTGATGAAAAAGTGCTGTTTGCACAATGATCACAGTTCTTTTAAAATGCATGTGTGAATATGCACATATATCCATAAATTCAAAACTAGAGTGATTAACACTTAATGCAATCATTGGTCACATCACTCCTCTGCTTAAAAGACTTGAATAGCTTCTTGTCACACTTAGGAAAAGGTTTACCTTCCCAACATGGCCCTTAAGGCCTTCTTTGACAAGTCCTCTGCTTACATCAGCAGCCCCATCTCACATTACCCTCCTCCACTAGTCTCTAAGCTTTGGAAATTTTTTTCAGTGTCTCAAATGTGCCATAAGCTTTGCCACTCAGGTTGCGTGGAGTGGTCTCTTAACCCAACCTCTATTTGGAAGTTTCCCTCCCGCCCTTTCCACACACACACTGCCCCTCACCTTATGAACTGCTACTCATACCCAGAGTTCAGGTCACATCACCACACATTCAAGGAAACATTCCCTGATAACTACACCCATTCCTTCTAATAGCTCTCCATCCTTCTCATTCACGCTTCTCACTACATTTAAATAATATTTACTTGTTGAAACTTTGACACTCAAGGGTCTGTAAGTATGATGAGAATAGAGATTTTATCTATTTTGTTTCCTTATATGTAGCATAGCTTCTTATATAATGTAAGTACTCAAAATGTATTTAAATGAATAATATAGCTGATATGTATTAGGTGCTTACTTGTTTTAAGTGACTTATCTATATTAACTCCTTTAATCTTCGCCACAATCCAAGAAGTGGCTCCTATTCCAACCTCTGTTTTAAAAATTATGAGGCTGCAACACTAACATATTGAACAACTTACTCAAAGTCACATCACAAGTGTGTAAGCAGAGCAGGGATGCATAGTCAGGCAGTTTGGCTCCAGAGTCTGTGTTCTTAACTACTAATAACAATAGCCAATACTTACATAACAAATACAATGAGCCAGATATTCTAAATACTTTACATATATCTACCCATTTAAGTCTCATAACAAACCTAGGAGGTAGGCACTATTACTCTCTGTATTTTATAGATGAGAAAACTGGAGCACAGAAAAGTTAAAGCAACTTGCCCTAGTCATGTGATTAATAATTGGCAGAACAAGAATCTGAACACCGACCTTCTTTCTGCTGTTGATACTACTCCATATTCCTTTCATATGGTAGCAAAGAAAGGAAGAGAGGAAGGGAGCTATCTTTTAGTCTAGGGATTATTAGTTTCTTTCTTTTTCCTTTATTGTCCAAAAATTATGTGACACATGCATTTTTCTAATGAGAAAACAATTATTTTTAAAAAGATATTATTTAAAATAAATAACTCTTGATGCAAAAATATTCAGAAAATCATCAAGGTATGACTTGGAAATTTACCTGCATGCTTCTTTAATCCACCTTGCTCTCTGATATCTGTGTATACTCCACAATATCCTGACAAGTGGATTTCCAGCCTCTTCTAGATCAGCCTCTCATGCTGGCTGATATTAACATGTACCTCAAGGAAAGTCTCCCATGAACTGAGGGATATCATCTCCTCTGCATTTCAATGGAGGTGACTGTGACCAGAATCAAGTGATCCATTTTTAAAATAATTTCACACTATGCAGATGCTGTGAGATATTGGGAAAACTAAACTTTCCCAAAGAAAACTATTTTTTTAAATAATACTTCAGCCTCACATGGATTGCTTTCTGAACCTATAAAGAAGCAGATGGAATAAAATGTATTAATCGCAATAACTAAGATCACTGAAGTGTTTATATGATTTTTTTCTTTGACAATGAGGAAAAAAAGTTTTTAGGTGTTTTGCTTTTTAAAACTGGTCTAGTGATGGCCCCCTGAATTGTCCCTTTCCTTGTAGAAATGGTGACTCCTTCCACACTGCCCCCAAAGTATGCTGTATGTGTTTCTACTACAACAATATAACAATTTATGCTCCTCATTATTTATGTGCCTGCTCCTTTTTCTTATTTCTATTTTTACTTTGTTTCCTTGGCATCTAACTCATTTTAAGAACATTAGGTTCCAAAAAAAAAAAAAACTTACAATTACTCAAGAAACACAGATTTTGAACCAAAAAGTAATTTTATAACAGCTCAAATTCTTTGCTTGATTTTTACCCATTAAAATAGATGTGAATAATTTCCTAAAAAAAAAAAAAAGAAAAAATTCCCCTCCTTAGCGCTTTCCTCACTCATCTCAGCTACTTTCTTGTTTTTAGTATCCCCAAACTACCCTGGAAAAAATCCATCCCTCAGTCCCTTGCCCAGGCCACCTCTAGCTCTCTCCTTTCCCCCTTTTCTTCCCATTCTGAATTTAAACCATCAAAGAACTGATCTAGCAAGGAAGGAAGCTGCTCAGAGGGCAAAGAGGGCAGGAGACTGAGTGGGCCAACCCAGAATCTTCTTTCAAGTACAAAAAGGGTAGAGAGAATGGTAACAATCATATATAAATAATTTTGTCCCATGATGAATATTTGTTAAATGAAAGGAAGGAGAGAAGGAAGGAAGGAAGGAAGGAAAGAAGGAAGGAAGGAAGGAAGGAAGGAAGGGGAGAAGGAAGGAAGGAAGGAAGGAAGGAAGGAAGGAAGGAAATCTAATATTTTTGAAGGGTAACTTTTACCACACCCCAGCCACCTTTTGTGTCAAGTTTGACAACTTTCTTCTGCAGTTCTGTTTTTTTTTCTCTCCCCAAACTCTACCTATTAGTTATTTAATATGGTCTGTAGCTACTGTCCTTCAATATCATTGGCTTGAAACAGACTCAAAAACTTTAATGAGAGGTTATCATGGAACTATTTTAAGCCTAATTCTAAGTGGAGAATAAAGGTCATAATACCACTGTTGCAGCTAAAAGCACTTTTGCTGACATTATCTAATTTTCACAGAACTCTAGAGGCATAGGCAATTATTTTGATTATGCTTCTATAGATAAGGTGTTTTAGGTACAGCGAGTAGAATAATGAAGGTCAATCATTGCTTGGACCAAAAATAGACTTATATCTACTAATATTCAGGGGACACCTATTTGGATGACACAATTTGGCCTTCATAAAAGGATCTTTTATCATCCTTGTTTTCCTAACACAGAAAAACCCTAGATATTTTCATTAGTAGGTCGGAGTTGCCCTAAGTCACACATCCTAAGAATTAGAGACTCCCAGCCCCTGCAAAAAAAGTGCTGTCTCTGAACATAAACAGTTGATAGCCAACATTTGTATGAAGCTCTATTTAAAAGAAATCCTGTATAATAAAAGGAGAGGTTTATTTTCACTGAAAAAAACAAACCCTTCAAATTGTTGATTAAATCTAAATTATTAGAAGATTCTATTACTTAAAACGTT